GTTGCCATCTGCTGCCGGAGCTGGCCCCTGGAGCAGGCACCCCAGGAGTTCCACTGACAGCCCCAACTCTTACTGGCACCTGAGGAGGGCCAAAGACTGGGATCGTGCATCCAGGGCTGGAACTGAGCTTTGAAATGTTTCCACTTGCCCCTTCCTCAGTCTTCCATGGCCTGGGCCTTGAGGCCCGGATACGTCCACCTCCCTGGAGCTGCTGTTGCTGGCCCTTGGGTGGGGTGGGCTCCTTCCCTGGGAGAACTTGGTGTGTCCCCTGGAAGCTGTCCGTCACCATGGGGCCTGAGTCTAGTCTTCTACTGCTCAGACGGGTTAAACTATGCAGCTCCTTCAGCTGCACCCAGCATGCCTGCCCTGTGGGCTCTTGCCAGGTGCCGGGCATTGAGTCCTCAGTCTCCAGAGGGGGAGTCTTCTCCCCATGACTAGACAAGGTGGCACATGGGGGCTGGAGTGGCCCAGTGTCAGTCAGGGGACATGCGTGGGAATGGTGCTATGGTCCTTGACCTGCTTACTTGGGGGAAGCCCCTTTGGGCTCCCTGCTTGATGGAGGATCAGTTTTTCACACCTGTCAGGGTGCAGTGGGGGATGAGATCCGGCCAGAGGCTGGAGGCTGTGTCCTGGGTGGGCATGGGGTGGTGCCTTAGTTTCTCCAGCTGCCCTGACTGCTCTATGCTGGGCTTTGCGAGCGCCTGCAGGGCGCCACCACCCAGAGCTAATCGTCCAGGGCTCCGTGGTGCACACACCATCTAACCCAGTCATCCCCACCACCCTGCATACCGCAAGGTGGCACACCCACTTTGCTGAGGAAGAAAGTAGGCACCAGAGAGGGGACGTGCCCACCACGATCACATAGTGGGCAGTGAGGTGGTGGCAGGATGGAGATCCAGCTGTGTGGCTCTGAAGCCAAGCCTGTTTTTATCTTACCAGGCTGGGTGCCCCATTCTTATGAGTGACAGTGAGGCTGGGAAGGGGAGCACAAACTGAGGGATCAGAGAGCTGAGGCCTGATCCTCTTGCTCCTGGGCTGCCTTGCCTTGCCTTGCAGGCCTGGCCTGCCTGGTTCACTGACCCCTCTGAGGGATGGTGGGGGGCAGCTGTCCCTCCCTGAGCATGGCCCCCGCCCCCACACAAGCATGCTTCTACCTTTTTGGTCTGTTCTCTGTTGCCTTTTTATAGCAAGAAGCTTTTCTAGACTTCCTTTGCCTTTGTAACTTGAAGATATTTATTCTGGGTTTTGTAGGATTTTTATTAATATGCTGACTTTTTAAAATAAAGCCTTTTTCCTGACTCTTGCCTGGATTTGCCTGCCTAAGGTGATGCCATGCCCAGTTTGCTCAATGGTTAAGTAATCAAGTGCAGTGGTCCCTTAATCTACCTGGGGGACTGGTCTCGGGAACCCCTGTGTTTATTGAAATCCACACACACACTCAAGTCTGGCAGTCTGCTAACCAAAAAGTTGGCTCTCCATATATGCAGGTCTTAGATCCTGTAAATCTACATATAAGCAGACCCTCACAGTTCAAACCCATGTTGTTCCAGGGTCAACTGTATTTGATGAGTACCTGTCTTTTAAGTACAAGTATCTGACGGGGACTGGTAATGTGACCTATTTCTTGTGCCTGTCCTAGGCTCCCTTGGCTCCCAGAGTGCTCAGGGGCCTCGCCAAGGTCGTCCTGAGTTCACCCTGAGCTTGGTCGTCCGTGTTCATCCTGAGCTTTGAGCTCCCAAGGCCCTTTCCACTCTTCCCAGTAACTGGCACACAGTGAATGTCTACAGAGTTAGTTCTATGAATGCTAGCTGCTTCTGTCCTGAGCAGAGCTGTACCCATGACTGTTTCATGCAGTTAAGAAGAATCTCAGGTCTCACCCCAGTTTGTCCCCCTCTGAGGCTGGTGGGCACAGCTGTCTTAAGCAAGGTCTATTCCTACCCAGCTCATGTCATAAATGATAAGGGATCTACCTGCAAAAGCAAAATCCTCCCAAACCACATTGGCTGCCAATTTAGCATCACACAGGGGAAGTGTCTAAGAATTGACAGGTGGGAATGGCAGGAACACCAGATCTGTGTATCTATCTGTGCCCAATGGCCCACGATGGCACAGGATCATGTATCAGTGGCTGAGGTCCCCACACCCTACCACTCCATGACTGAGTGAGTTGGGGAGGACTGGGCATGGCCTGCAGGAGGAGGAACATCTGGACTAGCAAACGGTGAGGGGGACCCATGTGAGCGGCACAGGACACAGGGAAGAGCCTGAGATCTGTGGAGTCTAACAAGAGGCCCAGCTTGACCAGGTAATGTGACTTCTGCTGGGGGCAACTTGGGGGAGCTGAATGCTTTGAGGGAAGGACATGCAGGTCATCAGCCCAAATTCAGGAATTGGCCTGAACTCCGCAGATGCATGTGAGAGTGCTTAGAGGGAGACAAGCAAAAGGCAGTCACAGGAGTCACAGCACCAGGCCACAGGCTGCAGTGCCCCCTCCCCGACACGGCTGTAGTGATGGAGAAAAAACATCTGTGCAACTCCATTTTTGAAAAATTTATTTTATACTTTTAGAAGCTAAGAACTCTGCCACGCATGAACTGAATTTAGAATTAAGAGTCTTCTCTAGTTTACCTACTGCCTTTTGAAATTTATAAACAAGATTCTGTACACAAGAGGTAGCAGAGGAAAATTCCAGTCTGCTTGTTCCAAGCTCAAAAGGTAACTGCACACACCTCAATGTTAGCAGGGAGAGTGGGGGAGACAGGGTTAAGTCTGAGAACGCGGTGCTCTAGGTCCTAAAATGTCATCTTTGTCAGCGACTGGGGTACTCCAGAAGTCATGGCAATGTGCCTGCTGGGATGCGCATTTGTTTTCTTTCCCAGGATGCCTTGAATGGGCAGAACTGGCCATCCTAAGATTGGCCTTCACGAAGGGAGCTTCAACACACAGCGTTGAGTTAATTGTGCAATTCCTGCTCTGTTCGCAGACCATTTTGAAAGATTTATAAAAACATCTTCATCCAAAAAATTGGCAGTAAAAATGACAACTCCTCCAAGATAAGCCTGTCATAATTGTCACTTGTTGTACTACATTAAAAAAAGTTATCAGCAGGTTTGTTGACTGCAGCTGTTGGAAATCAAGTGGTTACCAGCAAAGTGAGAATGACGTGCACTGTAGCAACAAGAGAAGCAAAGGAACCAAAGCCTCGGGGACACACTGGAGACAGGCGATCCTGATGAAACTTGGGTGAGGACAGCAGGTGCTGGGGGTGTGGAAGGCGTCGTTTCCATAGGAAATAAGGGACTAGAAGTGGCAATTTCACTCCTGAATTTGGGCTCCTGAGAGTGCAGTTGCCAGCGATGACGTCCAGCACGGATCATCGCCGGCATTTCAAGGTCATGTCCCACACCATCTCTGGGAAAGGATGGGAATGGAGAGGTTACGGAGTATTTGCGTACACAAAATCAACATTACAGCATCACATCCCGAACTCCAGGAACACTGGCACCACCGCTGCCTCTTGCTGCTGTCCGTCTCTCCAAGGGCAGAGCTTTGCTCTTATGTGCCGGCCTTTCTGTCTTCTCATCACCAGCCTGACCGCACAGAAACTCCCGCTGCCGGAGAGTGAGAAACCGGGCAACTGACGGGGGACAGCAATGAGGGCTGTCTGCCTGGCCACGTGCCCACACGAAATGCCAAAGCAGCCAGGAAGGCACTTCGGGGCTACCGGCCTCTTGGACTTGGCAAGTGTGACAGGGGCAACCTGGCACTTCCTAAGGCTCCCTAGTTCTGTGCAAGGTGAGATGATAATAAGGCAGAACATGTAACTGAAGGCAAAACAGGGCTGAAAATGTGTGAGCAATTCAAAAAACAAAATGTACAAAACATGTGAAATATGTTGGTGTAAGCCCCTCCCCCCACCCAGAAAAGGGAACCTGAAATGAGTGGGTGGTGATGAACTTGGCAAACACAACGAGATGGATAGTTGGTCAACTGCTTTCTTAGTTATTTTGGGGAAATTAAATCTTAACCCTTGCCTGTCTTTTCAGTGTTAGTCATGTTGAGGAGAAAAAAACAGTCTCAAATTCCTTCTCTGCATTAAAATCGCTAGAAAACTCACAAGCAGTGTCTTCCCAACTCAAATATTTAACTATACATACAACCAATACCAAGGGGATTCAGTAATTGTGTTTTAAGCAAAAGCAAATGATTGCAGATCACATGATTTAAGACAATTTATTCAATATGTCTCCAAGCATTCATTAAATAGATAATTCTATGAAGCCAAACTCAATAAAATTATATCTCTAAGTGCTATCTTTAAAATTTGTTTTGAGAACAATTTCTAACTTCTTTAGTGATTGATGTCAAAGAATGTCCTTATACTTTTGGAGAACATGGCATTTTAAAATTTCTTTCTTTTTTTTTTTTTTTTTTTTGCTCTTTTCACTTTTCAACTATATCAGAAAAATACTTTTAAGAGCTTAGTAATTTCCCAATTTTTGACCCCAGAAATATCTCATCAAGATCCAAGCCTATGCCCAGGGCTCTTGTTCAGACCCATCTGTTCTAAACAAATAGGGAGACATATTAAATACAAAGGTCTGTGTAAACTAAATTAACTATTATTTTACAACAAAAAGGAATTTTATCACACATCTTTACATCATTTTAAATTGGATATTCCTACTCAATGCTATTGCAAGATTAAAAATTTGCCCCCACGTAACTAAAGGCAGCTTACTTTTTCCCTTAAAATATAAAAACCAAAGGATTTTTTTTTTTGTAGAAGCATAGAGAAAGCAACAGCTTTACGCTCACTCTTGCATGTTCATATAACAAAAAAGTCTGCCACCGGCTTTATTTCCTAAAATCTTCGCAAAAATGTGACTCCACACAGGGATTGTGCTCCCAGGAAGTTCCCAGCCTGCCAGAGCCCACAGAACATGTTCCCTGAAAAACACACGGTCCTCCCGAGTCATGGCAGCTCTTCCAGTCTAATCTCCCGGCTCTTCCAAAGGGTCCAAGGATGAGATTCTGGTTTCAAGAGGTGCTGAGCATCCAGTAACGTGGCCTGACTCCTTGTCAGGGGCTGAGTGTGTTTCTCTAAGGATCAACATCGTCAAGGTCACTTCTTAAATCACCAATCATCATGGGAGACTCTGAACCCTGTGAAAACCACAAGAAGTTCAAGTTCATAAAAGTTATAGAAAAATAGTTTTCTAGGCCAAATCGATTTGTGTTTGTAATTTAATTACCTTTTCATCCAGCAACTTAATTCAATGCCTATTAAAGGGTGCTGATAACTCTTACCCTTTTTATCTGTCAATTCATAATTAGGCAGAACACTTTCATGTCTATGATTGCATTTAGTCACTGAAACAACCCAGTGACTTGCTGAAAGTCCCTACGCTACTCTGCACAGAGTCAGAACTCCGCGTGGGCAGCGTGGAGAGGAGAGAGGGGCTGGCAGATGTGCCTCCTCCCTGACTGCACCTGCCAAAGATGGCTGGGTCATCCTGGGTCTCAACACTGCCTGTGCCACCAACGATGAGGCCTTCGGCTTATGCACTTAACAGATGCTTCCCTACCAGGAGCTTGGGAATGACCTAACTGGAGGTGGGTGAGGGAAGAGTAGTGACACTGCAGAGTGACGAGTGAACCGAGTGGGGGTCAGGTGGGGTGACGGGGGCTCGAGGCAGAAGGAGCAAAGTACATTTGATGAACTAAAACGCAGACAATGCGGGGAGGGGCACACAGAGGCCCAATCAGGCAGGATGCACGTGGGTTTCAGCCTTTCTTCCAGCAGCGCAGGAAAGACAGGGATAGGGTTCAGCAGGTGAGCGAGAAAGGCAAGAGTGGGGGGTCCAGAGATCCAGGAGTCAAGGGGCTCGAGACTGACGGAGAAGACAGATCAAACTGTGGAAAAGGCCCACTGACCACAGCATACCGGATGACACCGGGCATATGGCTCACGGAGGAGGGGCTTCAGGGGGACAGAAAAGAGAAGGGCACATTGAGATTGAGGGTCCTTGAGATAAGTCAAGTGGAGACGTAAGGACAAGACACCTGGCTGTTCACGTCTGGAAGTGCAAGGAAGTAACGTTGTGGGTGTGGATGAGAAAGGAGCAGAGGGACACGGCACTGGGAGGCGAGGGACATTTCCTGGTGGCCTGAAGGAGGCTCAACTAGAAAGCAGACAGAGAAAGGACAGCTGAGGGCGTGAGGGGAACCGGAAGGGAGAGGGATGCCAGATGCGCTGGAGGGGAGTGCGTCAGTGGGGGGAAGCCGGGCGGGCATCAGGTGCCACGGGGCAGGCTGCTAATAAGAGCTCTGGGACCACCTGCCACCCCAACTGCTGAGTGGGAGAAAGGGGGCTGGGAGGAGAGTGAGAGATAAGAAAATGGAGACAGTTAAGTTTAGACAATTCTTTGGAGAAGCTTGGCTATGAAGAGGAAAGGAGGCAGGGAAGGGAAGGGAGAGAACTGGTGTGCTGAAACAGCCCTGCAAAGGCTCTGGCAGGGAGGGGGAGTTCAAGATGCCAAGAACACTATCACCCCACACACGCAAACAGAAAGGAGGGGAGGCAAACTTCCTCCACCAGCACGGGAGAGGAGACCAGGACAGCACAGCGTGCGGACTGTAATGGGAACCAGCGGCTGCAGGAGCTCCCCTCTGACAGCTTTTGTTTTCTCTGTAAATAAAGTAGGTGATGAGGTCAATGGCAAGGGTGACCCTGAGTCAAGTCGCATCACTGGCTGAGCCTCAGTTACTCTTCCTGTAAAATCCAGGGTAATAGCTGCCGGACACGGTTGTTATGAGGATCCAAAGATAACACTTTAAAAAAAAAATGACACAACATCAGCAATATTCATTATTTGGGGCCTAGTCTGTGCCAGGCACTGGGATGGGCCCACAGAGGAGAGCACAGCTGGAGACGGCACAAACTAGCAGAGAAAACGCAATAAACGTAATCATGCTGACAGCTGGCTCAGTATTTTGCACATGGTAGGTGTTTAATAAATATTTCTTTTCTTTTTCTTTTTTTTTTTTTTTGAGACGGAGCCTCAAGCTATCCCCCTGGG